TCTTCCAAGATTATGGTCGAGTTAATATTGGCTTTAAGGCAGAAGGAAATTCATGTGTTTCTCCTCCTGTACAATTTTTCTGATCAGCCCTCCTTACAGAGAGAACACTGAAATGAAAACACCGTGTTCTTGGAGTATCTTGAATTCAGGACAAACACAGACATATAATGCCAAGGAAGTCAATTATAGCCAGGGGCTAAGGATGACTACTATCAGGTGTAAGGTCTCATCTCAGAAGAATGTTAACAGAAAATGAAGGTGGCCATAAAAGAAAAGTGACATCAAAGAAAGAAAAATCTGGTTCTTATTGAAGTCTGTTGAGATTGCTGATCTCACACAGATCTGCTTCAATGAACCAGAGTTCATATGAAATTTAGCCAGCAATTCTTGTTATCTCCTTTGCCTCTCACCGTATCACCTCTGTTGTCAGAAATCAAGATCCCGTTTATGTTCTCAGATTATTAGATTTTTTTGTAATGGATCCATCCTTTAGTGAGCAAGGCAGAGCTATTCTTATGTCAGATGTCAACTGGGGGTAGTGGAGGGGGCTCATTCGAGTCCCAGTTCAGCCCAGGGAATGATGTCAGAATGAGCACAGTATCCACCCTAACCTAATGATTCATTGATGTCTCGGTGCATTGTTCCTTCCCTGTTTAACAGACTTGTTCTGATTGTGCCATCAGTGTGTCTGATGGAGTTTTCATAAACAAAATAAGAATAACCCTATCTGCCCTATCACTGAGAAAAATCAACTTCTCTTGCCCTGAGTACAGCAAAGGTTGCTATCTCTATGTGTAGTGCCCATAGAGGAGGAAATGAACACCAAGACCTACCTGGCACATGTTGAATTAAGCAGAATGGAATCTCTACTCCGAACTATCCTCACTCATTGTAAGTCCATTTGATGGGCTAGTGATTTGACTTTCTGTTTTTTGACACAGCAGTAAAAAGCCCTGTGGCTTCTCCATGTGTCAAGATCTGGGATGTGATGTGGTGAATGATCTCTTGCAAAGATGGGCAACGTCTCTGCTGTATGCCTTTCCCACCTTTTCAGTCCTCCCCAGGACCATACAAAAGATAAGAAAGAGAGAAATAGTGGTACTCTTTCAGACTTTCTGGCTGAAAAGGCAATGGCTCTTGGGTCTGATTAATCTAGCCGTGGACCTTCTGAGGTCTCCTTTCAGAGGCCCGCTATTACAAAAACCAATCCTCCAGACAGGTTCAAAATGGACACATGGATGAAGTGATTCATTCTCATGTTCCCTAAAAGGAAGTCAGTAAACATAACGTATTGTTCTTGTGGTACAAAGTGCATATCTTAACAACCAGTGCACTTCCATAAGGATGCCCAAGCCAAAAGGTCAAGTCTCTGTGGTTAATATCGGCATGTTTGACAAAAAGAATTTTAGTACAAATGCTAACATTAGATGCTTGCTTTGGGCAACAACCATTATTCTAGACACATAAGGTGATAGTTCCAAGGTCATGCTCTTCATTCTACTCCTTAGAGCACTACCCAGATTGAACCCCTGCAAGAGGTGTCATTATACTTCCTCTCCATTGAAATAGATGACCTGATAGCTACTGTCTCCAATAAGGCAAGTTTCTGAAGTTGGGCGCTTTCTCAGATGAGAGCTAGCATTGCACTTTTTATTCACAGAAGTAGTCCTCACAACTTGGAACATGCATTCCCAAAATAAATTCAGAAATATTCTTCCTTCTCTTAAGCATCTCAAAGTCCAGTCAATCTCAGAGCAGAGTAGTCGTGTCTCCTATATTGAGATCTGCTAGGTGGTCACATGGCTACCAATACATAAATTCATCTATTCTGCATTTTGGTCATCCAGTCTTTAGTCAATGCCATTTTTGGCAGAAGTCTTCTCAGTGCCTTGGTGCCCAGAGGAAGATGGAGGATATATAATATACCTCATTTTTTATGTTTGCATTTAAAGGCTAATCTTGCTTCCCACCCTGAAGGCACTCTGCTATGTAAATTCCACTGTAATGATCTGTGGACCTTAGCACAATGAAGAATTGGAAAATTTATGTGCTTGCCTGAAATTTTCTTTTCTTCAAGTAATAAGGTCCACAGATTTGGCCCACCCTGGAGACAATGGATCATCCAGAGTAGAGAAGGAAATTGACATCCAAAGATTTGGGATTGTTTGTTAGGGTTAGTTTCCTATGCTCTGCAGTAGGAGAAATTATTGTGCTTGTATATATTTAACACAATCTGTAATTCAGGAAAGTAAAATTGAATTATCCTGGCTGTGGAAATACTCAATTGGAGGGAACTTCAGGGTGCGGGGCACTCCTCTTCAGCCAGTGCCAGGTCTGGTTCTGTCCCCAAGCTACAAGCAAGCTGAAGAGCTCATTGTAATGGCCCTGTGGATCTTATTATTTAAAGAAAGGAAATTTTCATATAAGCACAGATACACTTTCCTGTCCTTCTCATTTGCCCATTGTGCAACTTAGGATGTCTTTTCTGCTTACTGCTGCTGGTCTATTCAGCAGGACTCAAGTATAAAATGGTATAAATAGCAGAGCTGAGTGAATAATATTAGTTTTTTTGCAAATACTTTTTCAAAGTAAAAAAAAAATCTGTTTAATTCATGCCTGTCATATTTATCTTCTACAAACGTGAGCTGCAGAGCTTTATTAGACAGACTGCCAGAGAAAAAGCAAATTTTAAGCTCAAATGTCAATATGTAGAAGAAAGCAAACTTCAAATTGTATATTTGATTGTGATGTGTGAAATTTTACACACTGAGTTGGTTAGTTATGTCTAATTAGGAAATGGGAACTATACCATATGATTTATATAACCAACAATACAGCATCTTTGTGAGTTTGAATATCAAGTATTTGCAAGCTAATTCATATGGGAAAGTTTTCATTAAGAAATTTGAATTTGAAGAATTGATCAGTTTCATTCTGCTCTCAAAAACAGGCAGAGCTTGAGTACATTAGTCACTCTGAATTATTTTTGCAGCTCTAATACTAAAAAGTTGGACTAGTTTCCATTTTATAAATGGTGTTTGCTTGTATTGTTCATGATTAATAAGTAATAATTGGTTCTAATCACGAATGAAAATTGGGTATGCTTTTAGAAAACAGGGGTTCAATACCAAAACTGTCTGTTTAAAAGAGTTGCTTAAATATGTACTGTACCAAACAGTCATAAAACGTTGGAGATACATGGTAGATGAAGTAAGGGAAGGTTTTTGACTCTTTTTGACATTGGGTCCAATCTTGGGGTATTATGACACCCACCTGTTCCATGGACTTGTAAAGACTTACATGTCTGACTTTAAATGTCAGAATAATAGCCGTACCCCTTGTTGAAAAGAAGAGAGAGAAGGGTAGAAACTATTTCCTTCTCTTGGGAAGACCAATGTCATGGAGAAACTAGCATTAAAACTGACAGCATGTACTCAGCGTGACCATGACATTTTTTCTTTTCAGTAGAGCTTGCAAAATATAGTCTTCATTAATTAATTCATATTTAATTGCATACTGTGATCTTTAATTATTAGGCATTCTTTAAAACAAGCAAAACTTTAATGCACATATGACAGCTTGATTTGGGGGCAGAATTATTCCTGTAAATGCCTGGGCCTGAGGTAAAAGGCAGCAAATGCATCTATTACTTGTATTTGGTCTACAGGGATGACATGTATTATAATGAATTTGTAGCTTGTAAACTTTTTTCTTTAAAGTAGTGTACTATTATAAAACCTCCATTCACAATATCAAAGATTTATTTTTACAGAAATTAATTTAAGCCTTTCAATACCCCAGCAAGGTAGGTATATGTCATAATCATTTTGCAGTTGGACGTGTAACCCATGCCTGCTTGGTGTGGCACTCTGTCCCCCTTTAGTGGCACCTAGACCACCTAGAGATTGATGAGCCTGCTACAGTCTTGGCTAAGAGACATGTCTTTTAGCTCATGCAGTAGAGATGCATGCATTAAGCTCCAAAGGTCCCAGGTTTGATCCTGGCCGACGATGACTGGCGTTACAGATGTATTATGGCACATACATGCTGTGTCTATGAAAGCACTACAGCATGTCAGTGGGATTACTCACATGCTTAAAGTTAGGCACACGCTCAGGGGAGGAGACATGCAGGGTCAAGCAGCCAGCCTGGGCGGTGGGGGGAAGAGGTGGGACCAGAGCCAGAGTGGAAGGGGTGGGGCCAGTGCCTCTTCTGGCTGCTGGGACACTATCTGGTGCAGCGCAGTGGCTGCCTGGGAGAGTGTCTGGCTGCTGTGGGCTGCCTCCTGCCCAGGCTCAGCTTCTGGGGACAGCGGCTAAGTGAATCAGAGCCTCCTGTTCCCCCTGGCATGCTCAGCCCCTGTCCCCAGAAGCTGAGCCCCGGCAGAGAGTGAGAAGCTGCTGCTGCCCCTCCCCAGCCAGGCTTTCTCCCAGGCAGCTGGCTATGCCGCACAGAGCAGCAACTGAGAGGAGTTCCATCCTGCTCCCTGCCTGGGCCCGGCTGCCAAGGAGAGCAGCTGAACATGCCATGGGGGAGCCAGCGCAGTGGGAGGACAGAGCCTCTTTTCCCCCTCCCCCTCACCCCCAAGCAGGTAATGTGGCGCAGGGAGAGTGTGGGGGCCCCAGGCTGGGGGTAGGGCGGAGACACATGGGGCGGTCACGTGTCCTCCCCTTTAGCTTGTGCCCCCCAATATGGGGAGGCACCAGTCATCTATGCACACACTTAAGTACCTTGCTCAATGTGAGTGTAGTTAAGCACATGTATAAAGCTAAACATGTGCTTAAGTCTTCTGCTGAGTGATGGCTTAGAAGACTTGGCAGAAGTATTGCAATGAATCCATAGCACAACTGAGAATAGAATTCAGGAGTCTTGACTCCCAGTCTCCTTATTTAAACAAAAGACAATCTTCCTTGCGCTGAATTACTAAATAAATGTACATTGTATGTTATGAAGTTTTATTGTTTTTAGTGAAAAATAATACCTTTAAAAATATTTTTCAGGTCTGAAATGTGTGTGCCAGTTGTGTGAGCATACAAACTTCACCTGCCAAACTGAAGGAGCATGTTGGGCTTCAGTCATGCTAACTAATGGCAAAGAAGAGGTGATAAAGTCATGTGTATCCCTACCGGAACTGAATGCTCAAGTCTTCTGTCACAGTTCTAAAAACATTACAAAAACAGAATGCTGCTACACCGACTTCTGCAACAATATAACACTCCACCTGCCTATAGGTAAGCAGTATCTCACGATTAGGCTGTGTTTGAATTATCATGACAGGAGCAAAGATATATTGCAGTTTTGAATCATAGAATATCAGGGTTGGAAGGGACCTAAGGAGGTCATCTAGTCCAAACCCCTTCTCAAAGCAGGACCAGTCCCCAACTAAATCATCTCAGCCAGGGCTTTGTCAAGCCTGACCTTAAAAACCTGTAAGGAAGGAGATTCCACCACCTCCTTAGGTAACCCATTCCAGTGCTTCACCACCCTCCTAGTGAAAAAGTTTTTCCTAATATCCAACCGAAACCTCCCCCACTGCAACTTGAGACCGTTACTCCTTGTTCTGTCATTTGCTACCACCGAGAACAGTCTAGATCCATCCATAGGTCCACATTCTTCCCTCGGACACTCGTGTAGCTCTCACTGTAGTCAGTAGAAGGTGTGTGCACAGCTGACCGTGGAATGTTGGTGAAGGAAGTAAAAGAAATTTGATTACTTAAAAAATCTTTCTAATGGAGTATCTTAGTTTAGACTTCAAACTGATTTCCTGGTGTCCTATTTAGACCTTTCACAAAATTGTAACCACTATAATGGAGATGTACTGTGTAGCAGCAGCAAAGAAACATACATTTTGGCTGTGAATTAAAGATTGCTTGGTCACAGAGAGCTGTGTGTGTGTTTTGCCAAGGGAATGGGTCCTGCAGAAATTATTTCATTTGATAGTTTCACAGGTGATGATGCTTTACAAATAAATGGTAAGACCAAGTTCCTGCCCCCAAGGATTTTATAGTCTAAACTGGACATACAAATATTTAAAGGTTGAGGTCTGGAATTAAATGTCTTGGATATGCAAACCGGATAGAGAGGTTGGAAAACGTTTGTACACTTCCAATTAGGGGGATAATTACACACCCATTTTTATCTTGCTAGTTGTTAATTCTGTGACTGAAACTCCCCTCCCACCTGTGGGCAGGGGGATATCTGCATTTGTTTTTTTATTCTAACCATTGTTACGGGCAGCTGTCATGACTCGTAACATCTTTCTCCTCATTTTGACTACTTACTTCTAGAGTCCTGTAATTTTAAGTGGCATGTCATTTTTGATATATGTGGTTGAGAAATTAGTAAAGCTCATGTTGGAGTCTGTTAATATAAAGATCAGAAGGACAAAGATGGGAGAAAGAAAGTGTGTAGTATTGCTTTCTGTACAATTCAGGGCCAGTCTGGAGTATCATGTTTATTTGGGACACTGGGATAACCTTACATTCTAAGACCTCACTGTTCAGTACATAGTGTAGCATATGAGAGTGAAATCGTTTCTTTCTATAGCATCAGCAAAATTGTTTGTAAATCTTGAGTTTTCAAATTCTGCAAAAGGATTGTAACAGCTGCCAGTGTTATATTGGTGTGTCATTGAACCTTGCCAAGTAAGTTGGGATTCCTGGCTCCAATTAGAGAGGCAAGTGTGAGAAAAGCGTTTACTCTTCTAGGAACTCTATACCATAAAGTTGGTGCCGTATTTGAGTCTGGCGTTCTCAAAAGTTGTAACAGTGAAAAGATTATTTGCTGCTTTTTCCATTTGGGATTTAATTACAGAAAAACACTGCACTTTTCCCCTTCAGCAGTTTTTAGTTAATCCATTCCTATTCCAATAACCTTTCAGGTGGTATAGCATTTATTTGTAAAGCCTGTTATTTTTATACAAGATGTTAACATATTCGTAGTCTGTATTATAATTAGTCATTTATATTGTGATGTTACACAGCACTTTACTCAGCAAGTTATATATGTCTATTGCTCCGAAGATTTATGGTGGATTACAAAAAAGAGATAGGGGACAGCAGTTCAGGGAAGGCAGAGGAAGGAGGAATTACCGATGAAATGAACAAAGGGGGAAAGATTCCTGAAAGCTGTGGGTTAAAGACGTAGTATGAAGGAAGTAAGATGGGTGTCGGGGGAGACTTGGTAAATGAGAAATGGGAACTCCATGTATAGGGAGCAGCATAATAGAAAGACAAAGATGAAAGTGTGTGACAAAGATGGGAGTAGTAAGAGGAGAAATGTTGGGAGAAAGTGGGACACTCAGAAATGAGACCAGAGGCAAGGCCTTCTAAGTGAGGCTGAGGAGCTTGAATTTGATTCAGTAAGATGAGGCAAATGCAGAATCAAAAGGGATGTGTGTGGTAACTTTCACAGCAGTATTTTGGACAGACTTGAGGTGAGTGGGAGTATTTCATGGTTTTCTTACAAAAAGATGTGTGAGGATATAATAAGCAAATCTGACCCCTTGCCTTTTCCACACCAGCATTTATTCCTCTGCTTTCCCAACCTTCACCATCTTTCTGGCTCCTAGCTGTAGTCTATATATTTGGGGATGTCTCGTATAGAATGTTTTCTCCATTTCGTCTGGGCCTGCAGGTCATCTTTGTCTCCCAAGAGACAAGGTCTGGGCACACAGCAATGAAAGCAGATGCTGTTGCAGAAGTTTGCACCTGCAGAAGAGAGAAAGATGGGGCAGGATTCTGCAGAAAATTCTGGAGGGAAGCAGGAGGCTTGCAAGAGGAAGGTGCTGTCTTACCCAGTAGTTTAGGAGGAGAACTCTCACTTGGAGCTGATAGAAGGAAAAAGGACTTGGGAGAGGGAGGTGAGACTGACTGACTGCAAGAGGGAAAGTGATAGGTGGGTATACTTTTCTCAGCTCCCAGTCAATCACTCAAATTAGAACCCCTGGAAGGAAGAGTATATTCCTTCTTGGGAGTCTGAGATAAATCTACTTAAATTTACATAAACATTTACAACCCTTAAATACTGACACATTGCAGGAATGATCCTTTTCAGTTGACACTTGCAGACAGATACTAGTAGTAATTATGTTCTGGTCAGCAGCTTTACTACATACATACAATACATAGCACAGTGAATCAAAATACTCTTGATTTAATAAAATGTGCAGCTATTGGAAAAATGGAACAAATTTAACAATCTATTCATAGATGTGCTTTCTATAGCTTTGTGTCTTTCCAACATTTGAACGGGTAGTTGCAAAACATTTGGTTTCCTATTACTGTTAGCAGTGAGGGTAATCTGCTTGGGCTAAAAACTGAGCCCTTTGCCCTACACATTTGGGAGAGTTCATGCTAGATGGAACTGCAGAAGTGCCAAGGTTACTTGATTGCTAATCTTTTCTGACAGTCCTTTTACATATTATTCATATTACAGGACAAACATTGTCTAGGTCCAAGTGAAAGCAGGTTTCTTGGAAATTACTGGATTTGTAGGCCCCAAACTCTGGATCCCTTAGGGTTGCTTTGCCCTATATTTCTGGTGCAAAGTGTCCCCGAAGCTGGTGTGTCTGTCCCTGGAAATATTAGAGACACAAGGTGGGTGAGGCAATATCTCTTATTGGACCAACTTTTGTTGGTGAGAGAGACAAGCTTTCGAGCTGAGAGTTCTTTCTCAGGTCTGGGAACGGTCCTTAGAGTGTCACAGCTAAATACAAGATCAAGCAGATAGTTTAGCATAAGTACTTAGCATGTATTCTAAGGGTATGTCCACACAGCAAAGAAAAACCCACAGCTGGCCTGTGCCAGCCGACTTTGCCTTGCAGGGCTCATACAGTGGGGCTATTTCTTTGCTGTGTAGGCTTCTGGGCTCAGGACAGCTCCACAGTCCAAGCGCTGCGAGCCTTTGTCTGCTGGCACAGGCCAGCTGCAGGTTTTTCTTTGCTGTGTAGGCATATCCTAAGGGACCATTCAAGGTAAAGTGGCCCATTAACATCCCTGTAGTCATAGGACAAAAATGGCGGGGGTTAGTGGGTTTCAAATTGTTATAATAAGTCATTAAACCAGTGTCTTTATTAAGACCATAGTTTTTAGTGTCTAACAAAGTTACAAATTTAAGCTCCCAGGCTTGTCTAAGAGCCAGGATAATGGCTTTTGTGCCAACCATGTTCCTGCAGCTGATATGAGTGTGCTCAGGGGAAGGATGTTGCTGGAGTTTCCCTGAATCTTGGCTATTTCCAGCTGCCATAATGGCACATTGAGACCACTGGCAGTTACTGTGTAAAATAGCTTCTTCTTACTCAGCAGATCTGCAGACCTCTGAATGCAAAACAATATCTGTTTTGCCTCCATGACTAAAATAAACATTACTGGTCTTTACTCCCATGAGCACAGCAGAACCTACACTGCTGAAAGAGTAGAACTTTAACTCTGAAGAACAAGTAGTTGCAAAACATTTGGCTGAAAATTTACGAATACTTGTGAGAGGTTTAAAGGGAGTTTGGTGAGAAGTTAATATATTTGAAGATAATTAACATTTTGGTCACAGCATCAATAGGAATTGGCCATTGTCTGCTACTAATTTTCTTTTTGACTATGAAGGCCATTGATTAAATGAGTGGGGAAAAGAAGCTGTTTGCATTAGTGCAAATGAGAGCACAATCAGGAGCAGGCACGTGTTAGTGATCAATCTGTCATCACTGTGAAATTATGAACACAGTGTTAAAATAAAAAAACAAAACTGGGGATAGTTTAATGGTTTGCCAGTGTGATTTAGTTCCCAGCTTGTGCATCCACAAGACCTTATTTCCATTGGCATTTGGCATTTACTGCATGCAAATATTTGTGTGCACAATGTCATGCTTAATTACACTTTATGGAAAATTTAAAATGTGTTCTTTGAAATTATAGCCCTGCTTGTAACCATGCAAATTCACAAACACATAGATGGGTATGTTTTCAGATCAAGGTGGATGGGGGGGGGGAAAAATTCTCATTATACAAAAATTTTTAAAGCAGAGCACAAGAAATGTATAAACGTTGCCCACAAATGTAAGATTAGTTCAGTAGGAAGAACAAGTTTTGACTGATAATCTGGGTATGCCATACTTCCTAAAGCAAAAGCTCATGTTCTGCATATGTCAAAAGTGGTTTTTTAAAAAGTTTGTGTTAACTGTTGACAGAGGTGTCATGAGGGATTCTTACCAGAAGGCAGTTTGTTTACTTTGTGCAAT